AGCAATATACTGTTTTTTTACAGTCTACTTCCGTTGTGTAAATTAACAGTATATTACTGTTAAAATACATTTTTACACTGTGTTTTTACCTCTCACACCTTTAACCCTTTAAACCCCAGAGCATATACTTCAGTTTTAATTGAAGTGTCCACACTACTGAGTGTTCAAAAAACATGTAGCAAAGCTGAAGTAAATTCATTAATTAACTGACTAATTAAATTATAATTGAGGATTAACAATGAACAAATGAAGAAATACTGAAGGGAAAAAACAAGAACAGAACATACAAAACTTTAGTCACAGCTTTATAATGAAATAACCTGAAGAACAACAAATGATTTAATCATTTAAATGATCAGCGGATGATTAAACAACTCTACAAACATCATCACCAGCTACACTTATTACTTAATACATGTATGTTTGTATAACATTAACTAAAGTTCTTCTTGAGAAAAAGTGAAAGTTTTACGTCACCATCATGGAGAACAGAGTTTGCTTTAGTTGGGCTCTTAGCCCTGTCATTTTAAACATTTATATATCTTGGCTGCTGCAATTGTTAAGAACTTTGTTTGAAAAGCTCCTTTGATGTGGCAAACCAGCCAAAAACCTAAATAAGATCTGGTGATGTTCATGTTGCTAATAAATGGCAGAGTCTGTTCTCATTTAGTATAATAAAATTTACTGCTCCTATTTAATGTTAAATCTATTGTTTTACATTATATGTATATATATGGCAATGATTTCTGGAAGTTTTTAAGAATATCTTGGACAATAACACTGCTCTATGGTGTAAATCGCACTCAAAGAGACATCAATAATCAGCATATGAACCTCAATAATGGTGACAACTAACAAAATTAACAGTTTAACTCACAAACAGGCAACTGAAAGTCTAAACATAAACAACAGCAGAATCAAACACAAATAAAGAAAACTGTTAGACCATTATACAACATTTATTTATACCGCAATGCATGCTGGGATATTTGTACAGTGCCACTCCCAGCATGCATTGCAGCATGAAACATTTGAGATGTTACCATTGTTGAGATACAAGGTCAGATTCATGAGGTCTGAGTGTGTATTTGTCAAAATTGAACTGTTTTTGTATGTTATTTCTTAACTGTTAAGTAATTACAGAGGTATCTTTTCTGTTTCCACTTCTCATTAATTAAATTAATACCTGCAACTAAGCATAAAATCTATTGCATGTGGCCCTTCTTCCAGATTTATACCAAAATATTTATCAGAACTAATTTCAGACAAATGGATTTCTCTATTTATTGACTTCCCAACTTTATTGCTATAGTACAAACGTTTTGTAAACTCTGTATTACAACAGCTGGAAAGTCATCTTAAATGAGATCAAGGGTGAAGAGCCCAACTAAACCAGCCCCTCACTCCATTACGGTGACACAAAAAACACCTTAATTTCTGTTGGATCTCAATGAGAATAGTATGGAAGTCAAATCAGTCAGTAATAAGTGTGTGTCTGCTGTTGTTTGTGGAGTTGTTTAATGATCCTCTGCTGAGACTGAAGCTGTTTTATTTGATTTGATTTTATTTAATGTTGTAACTCAAGTCACTGTTTGTGTTTCTTGTTTATTTTCTTCAGTAATTGTAATTATTAACAGCAGGTGTTCATCAGTGTCTGAATTCACTCATTAGTGTTCATTAAAATTGTCAGGTGAACTATATTAGTTAACTAGTGTATGAAATAGTGAACAAGGACACAAAGCGTGATTTCAAACACAGACTTCAAAACATCGAATCTGAACTCTGTTAGCTCACAGTTTTCTGCAGTTGGTTACTTTCTCGAAAACAAAAATGTTACCCAGAAAGCACTGTTTTTAACAGATTATTACTGTTTTAGTGAAAAAACATTATTTTACCGTAGAATCTGACCGTTTTTTAACAGCAATTTTTTACAGTGCAGCACCCGGCGTGGCTTTTTTACCGGAGCTTCGTAGCCGAGCCATTTCTTGGGGTAAGGGTGTCTATCAGTTGGCTTTCCGTCAACGAAATGGTAAGAACACACGTAAGGGCGCTTGGGTGGCTGTTTTAAATTGAGCGCCTTCAGCCATTGCCTCAGGTGCTCATCATCTTTAGGTGGTGGATGTAAATCGTAAGGTGCACCACAACACTCCGACCGGGTCACTCTGTGTTCATAACACGGTTGTTGTAATTGGTTTCTCCTCTTTATCCAATTGTTATGGCAGCCCCGAACTGAACACGCAATGCTTGACATTCTTGCTGTAGAAGCTTACGACTAACGTTAGATCCTTCGAAACCGGAAGTGAGATGATAAAATGAGCGTAATGGCGCCACCCTTGTTGTGGAAAATAAGGTCAATAAGACATGTGAAAGAGAAGCCATAACAGAGCCTCACTATTCTTAAAGAGACAGCGCGCTGAAAGAGCATATGCTGTTGGGTGTGTGAGCGCCGCTCGGAGACATGCAGAGCATACACATCTTAATGTGATGGTCAAATACTATTATAGTATAGGAAATACTGTGAAAAATTCCTCCGTTAAACATAATTTGAAAAATATATATATAAAAAAATTCACAGAAGGGCGAATAATTTTCACTTCAACTGATAATCGTTTTAAATAATTCGCAATTACAACGATGACCAAAATAATCCCGATTATGTCAGGGTTCTGCCATTCTGGTCGTGTAAATTCTTGTTTTGGTGGCAGAGCTCTGACACTACCTATGTCTGGTCCTGTTTCTGTCTCTGTGTGCGCGCGCGCCGTCGTGGGTGTACGCAGAGTGTGCGCGCTCCTGCTTGACGTGGCCGCTCGCACGCTCTGCGTCCCTCAGACGCGTGCGCTCTTGTACTCTTGTTTGTGTTTTCGTCTGTCAGCAGCGTGGTGTTTCATTCCCAGCGTCTCAGTCTTGTTGGTTTCGGTCGGCGATGGGATGAAGCATGCAGGCTGCGTGTGTGAGCGCACGGTGAATTTTCATTTATCGTGCGCTCGTGTCTTGCGTCTTTTGTCAAAGCACGTGGCTCGGTGTTTACATTGTGGTCACGTGCTTTTGTCGTGTGCATCAGTGTTGGTTTATGTGAGCGCATGGCTTGTATTGTCTCTCTTTGTCATGCGCTCTCCCATCTATTGTCTAGTCCCACCCTCCTTGTTTACTCATTATTAGTTTGTCATGTTCACCTGTGTGTCAATTTACTTTTTGCTTTATAATCCCCCTCATGTTTTCAGTCCTTTGCCAGTTCGTCGTCGTTATTTCCATGTCGTGTGCTATCTAGTCCTGTTTGTCCTGCCAGCCCATCCAAGTTTGTTTGAGTGTTTGTTTTATAGTTATGTTTTCCCCCTCGGGGTGGTTTTTGTTGTCCTTTTTGTTTTATTTTTATTAATAAATACCATCTTATGTTGCAATTGAGTCCTCGCTCCCTCATCCTTCCTGAAACCCTGACAGATTATGTTTTTTCCCATATCAGAAACTGTATTTCTCTCTCTCTCTCTCATATATATATATATATATATATATATATATATATATATATATATATATATATATATATATGTATGTATGTATGTATGTATATGTGTATATGTATGTAAAAAAAATTTTTAATATATCAGTATGGAAAGAACCACTAGCTCTGCGCTTGTCTTCTGATCCTGACAGGTGCGTGCCTGTAAAGCGTTTTTTCATCTCTGTTTATACTTCAACAACTAAATGAACACTGAAGTCTATTTAACTGAGCATATTTTAATTACATTACAGCATCAATTCTTTAAAAGGAACACTATAAAATTGAAAAAGGCACAATAACTGTTCACCGGTAGTTTTTCAATATGGGAAGAAACAATAGCTCGGCATATACCCTCGTTCAATGTGTGAACAGATGTACAATGGAAATACTTAAAACCTCAGATTTAAAAATTGGCTTAAATGAACATCAAATAAAATTAGAGAAATTAGATTATTAAAAGAAAAGTATTACAAAAACTGTTAAGGGTACCTAATATTTGAAATAAAACTACACCATCTCTGAACTTTACAGATTTCCATAAGACAATTTGTTTTATGATTGGGTGCAGGGAGCCGAGTACTGCTCAGGAACAACAAACACTATAGAATCACTACCAAGGAACACTTATTCCTTTCGCTTCTTTCAATACATGTCCCTCTATGAACTTGGTATGTAAAAAAAATTAAGTGTGTCACTACCAGCACTGTATCACAGTTCGTAATGTTTTACAGCATGTACCTTCACTTTAATAAAGCTTGAAAGAATTCACACTTACTGTTTCCTGTATTCCGTGATGGAGGTGGGTGATGAGAATTTGGCAAATGGATAATTTCAATATATAATTGAAATAACATAATTATTATTAAAACTTAAAAGGTTGACTTGACAAAGTCTGATATAGTTCAAAAAGTTTTATGATAGTTAATGGTGTGAAATTATTAGACTTACTATGTAATGCAGAATTATAATGGTAAACAAACACAATTTACACAAATCATTTCATTTTTAATTAATTACAATTGTATAATTGTGTTAATTAACAACACCGAAATACACATGCATTGTTTCAAATATTTAATTCAACTAGCCTAATGTAAAATAGAAACTGTAAAGAACAAAGGTAAAACACAGAACTGTAAAGAACAAATTTAAATGACTGTAGCCTAATTGAGAAAATTAAGCAGACTGGAAACTTTACTTGAAGGTTGTTCATAAGACTGTCATGAAAACTTTAGAGTCATGACACGATATGAATATGAAAGAGTTTATGCATACTTATGACAACTGTCATTAGCACAGTTATGTCATTTTAAATGCAAAAATTACATAATGTGACATGGCAACACGTTCATAACAACATGACTTAAATTCATCGTAACCTATGTTTAGCTTGGTGACACCTAATGGCAGTTGTGATAAGCATGCAAAAAAGTTATATTCATTATACATGTCGCTATTAAAAAGGTGAAAGTTTTATGAACACCCCTTGAATCTTTCCTCACAAACCCTAGAAAAGGCAGTCCATTGAGTCCTGAGTGTCTTCTGGATGGACCTGATCGGGGTCAGCAGATCCTCCACTGTGAACATCTGGAGGGACTTGATCCACACTGGCAGATCCTCCACTAGGAACATCAGGAGGGACCTGTTCCACACCAGCAGATCCTCCACGAGGTACAACTGGAGGGACCTGTTCCACACCGGCAGATCCTCCACGAGGTACGTCTGGAGGGACCTGTTCCACACCGGCAGATCCTCCACGAGGTACGTCTGGAGGGACCTGTTCCACACCGGCAGATCCTCCACGAGGTACGTCTGGAGGGACCGGTTCCACACCAGCAGATCCTCCACGAGGTACATCTGGAGGGACCCGTTTCACACTGGCTGGTTCCACGTGGAGGACGCTTCCACAGATGTGCCTGAGTTTTAATTGAAGTGGGAGCTGGTTTGCCAGCTCCTCAATAGTGCCTGCATGAAAATGTACAGGCACTATGTACTCATCCATATGGCTTTCCAGGAGGATGAACTTGTCGTGCATCTCTGACACTCCAACGATCTCAAGAACTGCCTCCTGGATATGCCTATCAATAAGCTGAAAAACAAAAAAAAAATTAGAAAAGGTTAGTAGAAAATATTCAACCTGCATTTGATGAAAGTAACCGTATTTTCTGTGGATTAAGTTATCTTTTTTTAAAGGGTGCCTATTTTATTAATTTTTTCAAGGTTTAAGATAAGTTTTTGTGTCTCCAGAATGTATTTGTAAAATGTTGGCTCAAAATACCCATCAGATTATTTATGATACCTTTCTCTATATTTAAAATTTGAGCTGTGATGATATTATAGCTGATTTGTTGCTTGTGCCTTTAATACAAATGAGCTAGTTCATTAAGTTAAATCCCAAATTGATTTGCACATACAGTATTTTATAGAAACTATTCAAAAGAGCAATAAGTGCTAATTGCAAATAAGTGTTTTCAGATTCATCACATGAACTACATTTTGGTAGAAAAAATATTTTTTTTCGTATACATTTTCCAATAAGTTATGTAATGCAAACAACAGAACAACAACAACAAAAAAAAACTAAGGAAAAGTTTAATTTGTACTCTTCGTGTTATTTTAATCAAACAGCCTTCTGTGATGTTTTATCCACTGTGCATCTGACACTACTATAATCGTTATTAAGGCAACAATGTCATTTTATTTCAACATTTTTTATGTCTCTTGAAGGTTAACACTTTTAAATGTGTGTGGATTACAGATGTGCAGCATATAATGTGTACCTTAAAAGTTGTGTGATTGGAAGAGTCGAATTTTGCTCTTCCATCTGGTCTTCCGTTTACTTTCAGGTGACTGAGCTCAATGATGTCCCCGACATAGAGCTCATTTAGTGCTTCTTCCCGCCACACTGAGACATCGTGTACTACGGAGCCACATTTCATCTGCAGGTCCAGGATCGGTATGTGAGCGCGAGTCATTCTGGGCACTTCAACCTGGAAAATGACAAAAATGTCAGTACTATACTATAGTGTTTTTTTTTTTTCTTAATCCTGGGACAGGAATTTACTGTCACTGAGTCGGACTGTTTGTTTTGGTGATTTGAAATGTCAACATTAGCAGAAATCGCCTGTCTAAAGACATGCGGTACAGCTGAATTGGGTAGAGTAAATTGTCTGTAGTGAATGAGTGTATATGTGTATGAGTGGATGTTTTCCGGAGATGGCTGGCAGCTGGAAGGGCATCTGCTGCGTAAAACAAATGCTGGATAAGTTAGCGGTTCATTCTGCTGTGGCAACCCCCAAATTAATAAAGGGACCAAGCCGAAAAGAAAATTAATGAATGAATTCACTTACTTTTTCTAACTGTCCCCGTAGACTCAGGTACCCAGTTTCACTGAAGATATCCTCTTCCTCTCCTGTTATAGGTCGTGAAGGAGGACAGAGGACCTCCCTTGCAGCTCTTTTAGCCTCCTCACTTTTGACTAGAGGAGCCGTCTTAAATTTGATGGTGCCTTTATTTACAAATAAACATCAGCGGCCATATTTGTTTGAGTTGGTTACATTTTTTACGATATATGAGTGTCTCTCTTTAAATTCAGGGTCACTGCCATTTTTTATGGAAAGATAAACTACATCACCATCTGTAAGGGCACATAAAGATGTGACTTTGTAGGTGTCAACCATTATTTTGTTTTCATGTTTAATAAATGTCACAGCCTTTTGGCTACTGTGCACTTTAACACAGGTGATGTGCAGTGGTGGTGGGCAGCTGTACGGTGTTGCCATCCTAAGAATAAGAAAAAAAGGTTACTTTGTATTAGTTGTAAATATTATGTGGAATAAATTATCATTTCTTTTTAACTCAATTCATCAATTAAACATATCAATTAAACCAAATTCTGTTTGTCTTGACTGGAATGTTGCGCTAAATCCTCCTTTAAAATATCATATATTGTGTTTTATAGGAGAGAGAAACTCAAAGATTTGTAAGCATATAAGGGAGGAGTAAATTGTTAATTATTTTTTTGGGGGGGTGGGGGGGTTATTTATGCTTTTAAAGGTGATTAAATATTTTGTATTGGCCAGAGTCTAACAATCTAGGCCCAAATCAAGGCCTTCCCAACATCTCACGAATAAAGACAATAGGAAAATATTGGCATACAATGAAGAGTAAAACTCTTTAAAACCTACACCTTTAATTTACCAAACTTGTCACCAGTAATAGTTAATTTTACCAAATCATACCCTAGGTGGGTGTGGAATGTCCTAACCTAACATTGTCTCAGTCTGCCCATGCATAGTACTGTATAACTATAATCATATTGGCATATCAGAAATAACAATTGGATAATTATAAATTGACACATTTTTACAGAATACCATCAATGCACTGTTTTATGAAACTTGTAAGACACTATAAGTCCTGCCTCTGACAATATAGTTTATAATGCTGTAATTGTTAAAATGTGGAAAAAAATACCTGCAAAAAACACTTCCTATCAGATCAAATCCTGCCAGAAAAAGTATTGTAGTTTACCAATTTCTATTTATTTCTTTAGATTTTGAGATTTTTGGTATGGGATTTTATCGAGGTCTGCAGTGTAGTATACAATTCATCGAAAATCCAGTAATAAATAATGCATTTATTCTTAGGAGTATTAACCTGTGCAGATACTCTGAGCACCGTTAAATATAAGCCACTGTTATATTTTTATATTTTATTATCAATTGGGCGTATAGTATTACACAATGTTTTATTTATATAAAGCATTTTTCTCAAGTTTTTTAAAAATATTTTATTATTACACAAGAAGTTGGTAAAGGGTTCACTGTGAACATCAGCCTGCTTTCAAGATTTAAGATAAGTCTTTTGTGTCTTCAAAATGTGTCTAAAGTTTCAGCTCAAAATACCCATCAGATTATTTATTATACCTTTCTGGATATATATTAAAAGTTACATGAACATTATTTAAAGTAAAAAGTTAAACACAAACACAGCTGAATCAAATATTGAGTATTATTTAAAGAGCATATTGTAGGTTAGACACCCCAGTGAGACAATGTGTGTAAGAGTAAAGTAAAAATTTGATTTTCTTTAAAATAAACGTTAAAGCATATTATTAAGCCGTTTGGAGTCGTTTTAAGTCACAGAAATTTACTTCCGCGTTTGAATCGCCAGACCGGAAGTAACGTAGGACTAGGGAGTTCGCGCATATAAACACTATGAAGACAACTGATCACGGTGCGCGTTTGGATGCCGAGATAAGATATTCTGAGACTCACACAAACGACAGACCACAGCCATACAATTATAAGCCTGTGGACAGACGAGCAGACAGACCAGCAGTCTGAGAAGTGTAATTTAACTCTTTTGTGAGGGAGAACAGAGCAGGTTTATGCTGAGGCCAGTGTTGGCTTACAGAGAGATATGTAAGATAACAAAACCTTATCTAGCAACAGCAAAGCTAGTATTAATCATCTATAAGTATTAATACTTACCAGTACAGAAACTAATGAGCATTTAACACAGTAATGCCACATTGACACTATTTTTAATAGTAGATAAGTGAATACAAAACACAAATAACACAGAACGTCTGGAATAATGCAGAAACATGTAAACAAGGTACTGGAAAATCTTTTTTATTTTACAAAAGGTTTTCAGAGCTTTTGTATTAAAATAAAAACAACATCAAATATTAAAACAATTAAAATAAGTTTTTAAATGTCTTTTTTTCATTGGGTATAAGATTATCTGTATCAGATCCCATTTAGGCTACAATCCATAAAAAGACAAGTACAGTTGTTATAGTATAAAATATTTACAAAGATTTGATCAACAGATCTGATCTGCATTTATGATTAAATAAACTTCAACCCTAATTCAAGTTCAAATTTAATGCAACTCAAGTTCAAGTTTTATTTATATAGTACAAAATCATAAGCAGTGTTAATACCCAGCATTTTTACTCTTTATATATGTATAAGTATCTGTGTGAGTGTGTGTATACTGAAAGGAAAATATATCATCAGACCCATTTAAAAGTAAACCTAAAATTATTTTTCAGTAAGTTGGCCAACGTTTATGTGGGTGCCACACCATCATGTCTTTAATGTGTGTTAAATTGTGAATGCTGTGTAAAAAGAAGCCAACAGCTTCATCCTTGTAAACCCGCTGGAAGGATCTAGAAAGGAGAGCAAATGTATTGGCCACTTCTGCATTCTCGTCGAGCCTGTGATAAACTCCAGTAGTCCACTGTCAGACACGCAGTGAGAGTTGATGCATATATTCTGGGGAAATAATGCAAAAGTTTAAATCATGTTTATTAATAAAGTATATTTTAAAATTCACCATATGATTTTTAATATAACACAATACAGAAAACCCAACCACATTTGCAGACCCCTGGATAGTGAACTGCAAACCATCTCACATATGCAGTAGACTGTACCCATTAGAAGTTGAGCATGTTAGAACAAACTTCAATTTTTGAATGTTATTTGTTTTTCTTCTACAAGATGAATATTCCTCATATGTGAATAAAAAGTGCCTTTCCTCATTGACAGGACAGAATATTTTTACTCTCCCTTAAGTGGTTTCAAACCTTATTGACTTTCTTCTGTTGATCACAAACCAAGATATTTTGAAGAAAGCTAAAAATCTGTAACCATTGACTTCTATAGTGGGAAAAACAGATATGGAAGTCAATGGTTACACGTTTCCAATATTAAAAAAAAAAAAGTCAAAGATAGTGTGAGTTTACCTGCCTGCATTATATAGAAATATTGTAGTAATTCTTTGCCCTTCTAGTTTTTGTTATCAAATAATACCATGTAACGTACAAATAATTCACGATAGGGGTCATAATATTTTACCCGATGAACGAGGTGAATGTCTGAGGTAAAATTGGTTTATATTCACACATTCTGACTTTCTCCTTAATAATATAATTTCAGAAGAGTATTATTTGCTAATCCCTAATATCATGTTAGCAGCCAATGACAATCAAAGTACAACATTGTTCACTGTCAGTTTAATAGTGCTAATGTGGTTTTTAAGTCATATTTACGTGTGATTTCAGTCATTATAATAAAAGTACTATGGTAAACAATACTGAGAATGTGTCACACAAGCTGTCACTAATCGAATGTGCGAATATAAAATCCACTTTACCTTAGTTGAGGTTACTCTGTGAGCCAAAGTGAAGCACGGTTGAGCGAGAGGCCAGTGGAGAGAAAGCCTTCAGCTCCGGGTCATCATCTGTCTCCTAAAGTCTAATAAACACATCACAAAGCAAACAAAGTCACAACGCTGTAACTATACAAGACATTTATTATATTAGCAAACTGATGCTACTAGCCATCTTATCATATGTGTACATTTTTACATGCTTTAAAAAGTATATTTAATATGCTTAACAATACAAGCTAGCAGCAGTGCTACAGTGCCAAAGTAAACACATCACGTTGCTTCAAATTACTCAAAGAATAATGCTTACGGACTTGAAAGTTGACAAACATAAACGAAAAACGAGTTGTCTTACCGTGTACAGCCATCGAGCTGCATCTCCGACTGATCCAGGAGTGTTTCTCGCCGTTCGAGTCAGCTATCGCTCTTATCGGATTCATCCCATTTCACGAACCAAAATAGCAAGAGGAAACTTGTGGACTTGATCTGTTGACAGGCTGGAGTTTGTGCAGTTTCCATAAACGCAATAATATACCACGATGATGATAAATTACGCCAAAACTAACAACCAGTTCTGCTATTAGCTCCTCTGCCCCACTGTAAACAGCGCGCGTCTGTCAGATAAGTCACTCTTCTGATGTCACCAGGGTGGTTAGAAAAAAAAGCGGAAGTGGGAAAACAGACACATTTTCTTTAAAATTTGTGCCATTGCACTTCGTAAAACATTTTAATATGGTATTTTATGGTTGTAATGAAGTTTACGGCCCTTCGCCGCCGGGAAGAAGGAGGCGGAGAACC